AGCTTTTTACGAGTGTCTACATTTCAGTAGTTTTCAAATTATTCACATTTGAAATTATATTAAAGTAGTTTATTCTAAATGAATTTCTTGCTATTTTTTTCTTACATATAATAATTCCTATAATGTAGATCAGGTAATGCAGATTAGTTTGTATTAATCTACCACAGAAGTTCTATAATACAGTCCGTGACCAGTAGATCTTTATTTAATCATTACATTATCGTTGTAACCTTTTCTGTAAATACCTGTGCTTCGTAATGTGTTTTGTATGTTTTTCATTTTTGTGATTCAACTCTTCTTCGTTTGCTAATTGTTTAAATATTTATTAATTTGCACTTCGGATTACTTTTAAGAACTATCGCAAACTCATTATCACTTGTGAAGAGTGTTGAGCATAATTTGTGCATCATTTTAATCCAGTTTTATCTGATTTTGGCAGTATTTATTGTTTTTACAACTCAATATTATACATATATGATATTAGTATGAATATAAGATTAAGCAGACATAAATGGCACAAAAACTTTTTACTACAGTACAAAATCAGCTAGTCTGTATGATATGGTACTTTTCTAAAACTTAGGGAATGAATCTTACCGAATTTACAGTATGAATTAGAACATTAACAATAATATAAGTCAAAGAACCAACAATTTAACTGTGATATCAGATTACTCCGTAAGCAGTATCTCTTATCAGTAAAACATTAACAATGCTATGGTAATACAGATGCAATCAATGTCTTCAAATGCTATGGTCATTGATATAGTTGTCGATAGAAGTCGTAAATTTCTGCTGTGAGTGATTTCTTGACTAAGCTCAGAAAATTGATATTCAAGACTTATTAGAAGTATGTGCTTGAGTTTTATTCGATTTACTAGGATTGGAGTATGCAATGCAAGTATTACAACAGAAATTACCATATCGAGGAATGGAACATAGTTTGGCTTTAGTAATTAACGAACATGTCTCTTGATTCCCTTTATCCACGCAAGATTCTGTCGGATTAGTTTCTATAATGTAGATTAGGCTTAGGCTAACAGATTAGTTTGTATTAATGTATCACAAAAGTTATATAATACAGTACATGATCAGTAGATGTTTATTTAACAATCAATTATATTATCAAGTTAGCAATATCAACTGTTATCCATAAAAATAGCCTTATATATTATGTCATTTCAGTACTGACCACTACTTTCTATAAATGATCAGCTACAGTGCTAATTATATTATATGATATAAAAATTGCAACCTCTGACATGCAGTTGAATAGAATTGGATAAAATTGCGTTATTGCCAATGGAACATGAATAATTAGCACTATCAGATTGTTGTATGTCAATAACTGATAGTTCATTATGATCTTTATGAATCTGCAATCTTGTATGGTATCAAAAAAGCCTGATCATAGTGATCTGTAGACAAATCATTTTCTGTTATTTAAAAAATTTCCATAGATCAGGGTATTCTAAAAAAACATTTTGTGCTGGATCGATTTTGCAAAATCTTAATGATATTATTTTGTTAACTATAAATGTTTTGGTGGCAATATTCAGAAGTTGAAATAATTTTTTACAAAATAACGTAATGCAGTCATGTGGTTTCTTTTCAGTGCTACTGATACTAATGAATGATAACAAACTTGTAATTTTTGATTTTCTGGAGTAATCTGTATTAATACATCATTTTTATACCACCGTATTGGGTATTGTCCCTGAACTTTTACACATCGAAAAGTTACATTTGATCCAGTCGATGTCGGATTATAACCATTCAAAATTAGTTCAGGACTATGAACTAACTTAATTGTTGATTTATTTAGATGACCTGAGCTAAATTAATCATAAAATTATTCACACACTGATTCTAACAAAAAAAAAACTGATCTATTTATTGAGTTATTGTATTTCGTTCAGCAATTTTATTATCGTGAAATAATGTATGTAAATTAATGTATGTAAAAATTAATTCCATTAACACAAGTATAAATTAAAATTGTATGTTACCAATAAGTCATGCATTCATCGTTGGTGGAAAAGCGATTCATATTACCTTCACAGCCACCGTATGAAAATAACTGGCAGATTCTGAGTGACTTATCAAAATACCATTGTTGTTGGTTACCTTGACATGGTCCTGCGTCAAACGGCAACGTACAAATATCTAAAATTTCGAATACTAGGTAAAAAAAATTCAAGACATATTTATGCATAATTCCACTAGAATTGCTGATAGAGATAACAGCAATTTTATTATCGTGAAATAATGTATGTAAATTGGTATCTTAATTTTTCCCCACAGTTTATGGTTTAAAAAAAAACAATATTTGTTGCATAATTAACAATTAGCCTTCAGATCGTTCATTTGTTATTGCTCTCTCAGATACGTTGGTACCACGTAAACAACGCTGCTCACAAAGTTCTCGACTATTGAATCGATTGCCATTGCCACGACAACCTCCGTACGTGAACTTCATGCACTCTAAGCTACTTGCATCGAAGTACCACTGAGTCACAGGGTCATTACATGGGCCACTCTCTCGATCCAACATGCAAATATCCTTGCCTAAAATAATCAACAATTAACTTTCTAGTGGTTTTCATATCGTCGCAATGATGAAAATAGCTTCTTACCACTATTATAAGATCGAGTCTCCGCGGTACAAAGATTCTCGCATTCAGCTTTTGAGGAAAATCGATTACCATTTCCTCCACAACCACTGTAGATGAATATATGACATTGGCGGGAGTTGAAATTATAATACCATTTTGTTAAACTTAATTCACATTGACCACGGTCCACTTTATTCATGCATACATCTAATAGAAGCATGAAATATTACTGTACTTGTTAAAAAATAGTCATTTATATATGCATGTAAATCTCTCATATTATTAAAGTTTAAAATCTTTTGTAGAAATTAAGTTAATAAAGCAAAGTTTATGTAATTATTAATTTCAAAAAATAAATTTGCTTTCATAACTTCTCACTGCATTTTACCAGTTTATTAGGACGAGTTCTGTCAAGTTAAACCACAGAACTGAAGAAGTTTCAAATAACCGCTTTCAGAAATTCTCAAATTACATTAATACTTCTAAAAATAATAATGTTATTTATTTTTACAACTACTTTGAAAGTATTTTAAGGTTGAGGTCATCTGGTCACCTTCGAAATATTTCAAGCTTATAACTTATTCACTAATCACCAGTTGGCTTAATAATAAATTTAAGTACTACATTCTCGCATAATTATCAGATTTTTCATGACTTAAACGTGTAATTGAATAACTTTCAAGTATTAACCAGGTTTTATAAGACAGTTTTCAAACTGTGAATAGACAAACATTGATATTATAGCTTCTTGTGTATTTGAAAAAGAGAGCTTTTGATATTAATAAATTTAAATGTTAAATTTTTAATAGATTGGACTAAAGTAAAGCTCAATAAAAATCATAAAAAGTTATTATCATAAATTCGAATTTTAAGTAATTGAGTACCGCTATTTCTATATTTTCCACAAGCTCTAAGACAAGCCTCTTCAGAAGTAAAATAATTAGCGTTATGTTCACAACCAGTATAAATAAATGTTTCGCAGCGATTTTTTTCGGAATCATAACGCCATCTAAGCATTTCACCAAAGCAAGGCCCGGGATCTTCTGGTAGCAAACATAACTCTATAATTCTGGAATATTGATTAGTCAAAGCGAAAATAATTGTACAAAAAACAAAAATTTCGAAAAATGCATTGTAGGTTTATTTGATCAGTTCAAATAAGTATTTAATTACATCAAATAGTCTTCACGGGAATACTTATAATTTTTGCCGTATTTTTATTAAATACTTTGTTAATAACAGTCGATTACGTAATAAATCAATAATTAATACGGATGTTTAATCTTGACTTAAATGCAATCAGATCATATACGATTAATATGTATCATATATGATCTGATCTATTTTAATATTGACTGTTGCACTAGTTCACTTATTATTTGATTATTTGTAGTTGTGAATAGAGAACAATTTTCTATGTCGACAATTTTCAACGATCACTCACTAAATTAATCACTAACAGTAAATTTTTATATTTTTTTATATTTGCAACAAATTATTTGATTTAAAAAAAAATTTACAGATCAGTTCAATCAATGAGCTGATCTATAAATTCCAAAATTTATCTGCACCTGGCAACGAGGAAATAGCTGGTTGAAATTTCTCTATACTATCATCTGCGATTATTTTCATCGTCACTTCTTTTTTACCAGTAATTGTCTCATTTTTATTTACTGTATGCCCAATATCCCTGTCAAACACTTTTACAGTATCTATTATCATGAACGTGTTGGTTGTCGATAGAGGTAAAGCATCATCGCGTACTGTATTTGAAAATTTTTCAAAATCATTACTCTGCAATGTGAAAATAATTATTACAAGTATAAAATATGACAATTACACTAATTACCAATTGAATCGACAAATATGAATATAATAATTCAATTAAAAATTTATGCAAATAAAAGTTTACCAAGAAATTTTCGTTTTCTACGAATACATTGCGATCGGCACGAGCATAATAATGAGAAGTATGTTGCGATTGACTGATATGCGATTTATGCGATACAATATTAGGCTTAGAATAATCCTCAACTCATGCGAAATTCGTATAATTTTCAAAATTTCACTTAATCACAATTTGAAATCTGACGACATTTTTTGCAAAAACTTTTTTTAAAAAGTATATAGCTTAAACAAAATGAGCTGTTATAATATATTCAATCATGTCAGATCGTTTTAGCATGAAAATTAATGCTACCTGGAAATAAGTTAGTGTGGAACAGTTCCCAATACAGTCATCAATACTTTCAAATCCAATTTCAGATTCACTACACTGATTTAAAGGTAATAATTGGCACTTGCCCAGTGATTTATCGTAGTAATATCGTGTTCTAGTGGTACTGAAAATATCTAGAATTTTTGAATTACTCCAATTTTCGTCTCAATCTTATGATGTAAAGATACTGTATGCAAACCTGCATGATTTTGTAGTCTTTGGTAACAAACATCGTCTTGAATTCACTGAATCTGAAAAAAAAATATTAATAGAAAGAATATTGCTTTCTGATCTGTGATCTTGCGAATTTTGATCAACAGATCAATATACTGTTAAAATTAAACTACACAGCAAAATGTAAGGATTGATTTACCATAAATAAATGATCAAACTAATAAAATCAAGTAATTGAATTGTTAATTTGACTACAAATTATTCAAAACTTAATTACTACAAACTCAGTCAAAAAAGAATATTTTAATTGTCACCAAGAATTGTTATAGCTAATCTTAAGTATACTTTGACTGTATACTTTTAGATATGACAATCAACCGTACTCATTCAGGGACTCAAGTTTCTTAATGGCTAGTTAATTTGTTACAAATAAATTAATAAACCTTTTCATCACCAAATTATTTGATTATTTATAAAATTCCTTGATTATATATATGTTGTGAATTCATGCTTATGTTGAATGCTTATTGTTTTTTGTCAGCAATTGCTTATTTTTCAAAATTATCAGACCAAACGTGAATTATTAGTAAGATAAAATGGAATTGTGTGATAATTTTTGGTGTAGCACACATCATGCAGGCATACTGTAAGAAAAGATATGAAATTAATTGATTAAAAAATAAGCACAATTATAATACAAATTTAGAAAAGTAAAAAGCATGCAAGTAAACAAGCACAAACAAGAATACAAATCTGCCCAAAAGAATAAATTTACCCAATTTGAATTTTGTCGAAGTCTTGCCGATAATGATAAAGTAAGAAGTTAATTCGACGTATACTACGTCGGAAAATAAGTCAAAATATTTTTTACCTTGATCACAGTAAGGTCAAAGTTGAGAATGAAGATAGTAAGCTTTCTAGATCACTGACAATGCTTATGAATTGACTCAAAGCTAATTGCTTCAATAATAAAGTTTGCAATTGTTTTTAGGTTTAGTTCTTTTTTTTGAGACGAAAATTAGCATAATGATTTATCGTACTGTATTGTATTGTAATGAAAAAGCAAATAAAAAATTGCTATATTTACTACAATAGAAATATGTTAGTTGCAAGTAGATAATAACTGGAAAAAATTTGAATAAAAGCATGAATTTGACAAGGCAATGTAACACATAGAGACCATATCGAAATTATAACAATAGCACAAAATATATTGAACAAAAAAAATAGTTGTATATAGCGAAGTAGAAAAATTAGTTGATAGAATAATTATCAGTTGATTAACAACTGTAAATAAAGTAACTGTTAAAATGAATAGAAAAAATATCAAAAAAAAACTGCCTTTTTTTCAAATCAAAAAATTAGACTTTAAAAAAATTGTTGCTTTTTTTGGAATCAAAAAAAAAATACAATTTTCAGAAGTTTTTTCCCAGTAGCATTTAATAAATAAAAAAGTTTGCAATTAAAAAATTTTTTGATAAAAAAACTATTATTTCTTAGAAATATATAATGAGTAAACTATTATTTTCTACAAATATATAATGAATAACTTAACTGGGAAAAAACCAACAAGTACAAACAATCAGATAGAAAAATTATTTTTGATTCTCATCTCTAATTAGAATTCGAAAAATTTTACTCTCAAATGTTTTACAAATATAAAACAGTAATTGAGTTTTATTATTTAATAAATATAAAATAGAGATTTATGATAGTTGTAAATTTTTTCTTATCAATATTTTAGCTTGGTAATCAGTGCAGTAATCTGATTTGATATTGATCAATCAATAAGAAAAGACACATGAAATGAATAGATAGTGCACATTGGCAGTGTAAAATTTTTTTGTAAAAGTAGATAAATTTAATTTTGAGTTTCTTAATTGAAAAAAAAAATGAAAAAATTTTGGCTGTAAAGAAATTTTCAACTTTTTTTCATTCAGATAATATATTCAAATTTTGCTTTTTTCATTTTAGCATAAAGCAAAGTTTTTGTATTAATGATAAGCATTTACTCACTCACTTTCAACAGATGATAAACATTTTGCTTCACAATCAGCAATTTGTAAGAAATTATTGGTATTTCCCAGACATCCACCGTAATCAAAAGGTTCGCATTGACCTGATTCAGCGCTATAGTAATATCGTCGATGTTTGCCAGAACATGGTCCGTTTACTCTTGGTAAGGTACATGGGTCTGAACACCATAGAATTATAATAAGCTTTAATTATTATCTTATATTAACAATTAATTTATTTAACAATTATCCAATTTAAATTTGATATTTTTGTTGATAGCAAAAAATACTTTCATCAAGTGTTACTAAATTCAAATTATTCATGAGGGATTAATTGAAGCTTAATTTGTGTATATTGGTGATAATTTTATAAATATGTATATTCAGTGATTAAATTTTTAATGAATAAAAATGCTTTTACCAAGATTTATCTAATATTCATTTATTCAATGAACATTAGTTGTGCTAATTTGCATATATTACTGTTGAACTAAAGAATTTTAAATATATTATTTTAAATAACAGTGTATATTTGCATTAAGTATTATTTTGAAGAATTCTTTATTTTGTAAGCAAAGTAGAAAAAGGCATAAAACTTTCGAAAAAATGCAAGAAATTTAAAAATATGTGTATAAATATATACAATGAAAAAATACAAAATAAAAAAAATATAAAATACATTATTATTTTTTCATATTATTAATAGATTATTTTTAAATATATTTACAATTTTGCCAACAAAATTCATATCCAAAGGTCCAGTTTCTTTTTTTTGTTGAAATTTTCATAGACTTATGCAAAAAAACATCTATATAGTATCAATTATCTTAACTAACATAAGTAAAACAATTATTTTATATGCAGATGCAATAATAATATCACAAAAAAATATCATTGTAAAAAATAAAAAGGTTAGTTGAGTAAAAAGGATTACCGATAATTTGTTAGTCAAGATATAGTAATTAACCTGCGTAATCCCCACAGGCACTTTTGCATTGGTATTCACTATCAAAACGATTGTCGGTACCACCGCAACCACCGTAATGGAAACGAGTACAAGTACCATCTTCCTTGTTGTAATACCATTTAGTGACAAAACGATCACATGGTCCAGTATCTTTTGGTAGCTCACATTTGGATACTGCTTGAACTGCGTAAGAAGCTGGAATATTTTGAAAAAAATATAAATTTGTAAACAAAACTAATAACTATTGTAGCATAGTATTTTTTGGAAATTTTTTTTAAAAGACTTTTTAAAATTGAAAAAAAATGTAATACCATCAGTTATTGGTGAATGGTATCGAGCTGATGGTGGTTCTGAAGTGCTATAAGAATAACTTCCGATTCTGTGTCCAGTAACACGATGGACACATAATTCTTCACATTGTTCTTTGGTATGGAACCGATTCGCGCTACCACCACAACCGGAGTATCGGAATGGTTCACAAGTACCAGTTGCACGTTCAAAGTAATAACTTTGAAATGATCCCTGACACTGGCCAACATCCATTCTTTCATTGCAGACATCTCGTGAACGACCTTAATTTTTATGAATAATTGAATACAAGTATCAAAAAATTAAACAATCGATCTAAATTGAATTTAGATGCTTTTTAGATCATCAGTTCGAATTTTCAAGTTCAGACTTTTAAACTGACCTGAAGTTGGCCCGACGAATTGGCCAGATGACCTCGAAATAGTCACAGGAGTTGTTAGTTCACTGCGGCCGGTTGTAGAAGTTCGATGATACTGGCTTGCTAAAAAATAACTTTTTTAGTTTTTAATTTTACTCATTTAACAAAATATTCATCTTCAAACTTTAAAAGGTATATAAAGAATTTTTTCTATTTTTAAAAAATTAAAATGTTTCAAACTTTGTTTAAATAAACAAAACTTGAAAAACGAACTTTTTAAATCAAAAAGTATGATGAATTACGTTACACATGCTTGCAGTACTATTAATCGAAATAGTAATTAAAGGAATAGATTAATTAATTAAAATAAAATCCTCATTTTCTATTATGGTTTATGCAATACAAAAAATTTTTTTCTTTTTTTTGATAATTTTTAAAACTTTTACAATTTTTATGAATTTTAAGAAGGATAATAATTTTAAGTTTTTTGCTCTAATCTTACTTTTTTACAAAAGTCAACAAGACTAATGCTTCAAAACTTTTTAAAACTTTTAATTCTTTCTTCCTGGAAGTTTTTCAAATATAATTTAGCAAATCAGTTTGAAATATTACTTCCGATTATTTAGCTCTGACAATATATTAAAGCATTTTGTGAAGACAATTCTCTCTACACAAACTTTATTTTTTTTAAAACTACAAGTAATCTATTATACACATTTTGGTATCAATTTAAAAATTAAAATTTTAACTTTTTCAATTTTTTTATTTTTGATATTTTTTCAAATTTTCAATTCGGATGCATTTTTCACATTGCATTTTATGAACAAAATCAGAAAGAACAATTTTTGAATTCAATTTTTAAACAGTTTTTTGTGCTAAATTCTTTCCCGTAAAATTTTGAAGTAAAAAAAATACTCATGAACATTTTTTTTTAATACAATAATTTCTCGACTTTTCTACTTACGATCAATAATATATCAAATATAATTATTTCTCACCAGTACTACCAGGTTTGACATGTGAACATCGTCTTTGGCATTCATCTATTGTCTTGAATTTATTCAAATTACCACCACATCCACCATAAATGAAGGGATGACATTGTCGTGAGAAGGGGTCATAGTAAAACATATCTTCATATTTACTACATGGACCACTATCAGCGATCAGCCGACAAATTTCCTCGATACTTGCTGTAAAACTCAGAATAATCATGATATTCTATTTGCATAGATAGATTTACTATTCATGTATTATCACTATTGTAGTACATCATATATAATTATGATTATTAATAAGATTCATATTTCATATACCAATTCTGAGAATCATTGAAGCCATACAAATTTTAATAAATCGCATTTTTATTGCTTTTATGTGTATACTTTTATAGATTAATAACTTATGTATACTTATTATATAAGTTAATTTTAAATTTATTTACTTTGTTCATATATTTCCGTTCATATATTATAACAGATGAAGATGTTATATAATTTGCATGAATAAAAAAAGATGAAATTAGTCAAAATAATTTTTTTAATAATAAAAAACATGTGCTATAAGCTAAATACATTTGTTTGTAAATTTGCGCTATTTCTTGCTTAATTTACTTGATTTCTGTGGTGATGGGATTCGGTGATGTGGTAGAGGTTCAGCTGATGGTAACTGTTGATGTGATGAAGATGGAATATGAATCTGATGATGTTCAGATAACCAATGTGCATTTGGTTTTTCTGGTTCAATATAAGATGGAAGTATTTGTTCAGCAATTGAAGAAGCAATATGATCTGTTGGTTGAAACTGATCAACTTCTTCACTTTCTTCATGAGAAGTACCGCTATACCGTGTTTCTGGTAATGTATTCGTAATAATATTGTTATCGATTTGATTTGCCAGCTAAAATTATTAAAAAATAGTGAGAAAAAATTAATCATAATATTTTTTCTCTACATTAAAAAAACTTTGAATTTTACTTACTTCGAATTCGGAATCTGATGTTTCTACTTGTTGTGAGAATGATCCAATACCAGAACAAAACTTTTGACATTCTTCCCAACTTTCAAAATTATTTGCATTACCCAAACAACCTCGCCACCAAAATGCACCACATTGTTTTGTTGAATAATCGTACCAATAACGAGCTGACAGTTGGTTACAACGTTGTGGCCCTTCTGCTTTTGACAAGTAACAACGACCTAAAAGATTTATAAAAATATTTTATGAAAATTACTTGATATAAACTAACACTGACCAGAAATATTCTTAAATTATGATAATATCAAAATTTTATTGCACCCTAGTAAAAAACATTATAATTGCTTATATTATAGTAAGTAAAGTAATGCTTAGATTACAGTAATATTATAGTAATTAAGTATAGAAAGGAACCTGTGCCAGGTGGATTAACACAAATTGCTTCGCAGTCTTCTTGGCTAGCAAAGCGATTTTCATTACCATCACAACCACCGTACCAGAATTGCGTACAACGACCTTCTGCTAGATCATAGTACCACATCAGTCTGTAGCCTGGGTGACATACATTTCCTTGATCTTGTGGTAACGAGCAGGAAACTGAAAGTTAAGTGGTTAGCAAAAAATTAAACCTCTGCAGAATACTTTTCTATTCCACATTTCTGGGAATGAGAAGAATATCAGTCATAATATAATAACTGATGGAAATAAAATTTTTATAAATTTTAAAAATAAAAATTCAGATAAATTCTAAAAAAGTACAAAAATTTATCTATAATCAATGGGAAAATTTTGATTTAACTAAAAAACTTGCCATTTTTTAATTATTACTTCAAAATGATTGCTTACAAATACAAATTCACATCTTGTAAAAAATTTGGAATAAATTTTTAAGCAAATAAGTAAATTTATTTTTTATCAAGTAGATCAAAAAGTAATAATTTAAAATAGAAAACAAGTTTAAGAGTAAAAATACAAAGGATTACTGATTTTGTCTGGTGCAGCAGTGCCACCAAATAAGAAAGGTGCAGCAGTTGTTGTAGGACATCCTGCATATTGTGGTCCGGTAGCCCGAGTTTCTCCATCCAAACAACAACCATATCTAATTATGCAAATTAGAGACAAAGTATGCAAAAATAATAAATTTTAATGTGCTTAGAATAAATAAAAAGTAGTTTTAGTTTTTTGGGACAAAAAGAAAAATAGTTTAATTTGAAAAAAAAAGTGCAATGTCACCAACTTAGCATAGCGACAATCATCACATCCCTCATTATTTGTACCAATAGCGGTTGTTTCACCATCTGGACAACATCCATACTGTGTATACTGACATGGACATCCTAAATTTATTAATCAACTTATTAAAAATAATTAAAAGAATTTCTAGAAAGTTCTTGCCTTCTTTATTTGGTCCATTAGCGTTTGTTATTCCATCAGGACAACAACCATACTGACTTCTAGCGCATGATTCTGGACAACCATAGTTATTAACACCTTGAGCTGCTGTTTTACCATCTGAACAACAACCAAATTGAGCAAATTGACAACCACAACCTGAAAATTTTGCATTATTTTCAAAAAATTTTTTTACTAAATATGAAATTATTTGAAGTAATTTATTTGCCTTCATTTTCAGTTCCTTTAGCAGTTGTTTTGCCATCTGGACAACATCCGTACTTTGTTACCAAACAATTTTCACTGCAACCAGTACCATTTTTATCTAAAGCTGCTGTTTCACCATCTGGACAACAACCGTAAGTAGCAAGTTCGCAAGGAAATGATGATCTATCACAACCTACAACATTATGAATTCTCAAATGTTTGCTTGCAATATCCAATGTCTGATAAGTACAGTAATCTATATAAAGTAAGTAATTCATTTTAGATTTTGATTTGTGTATATGTCTACATGATAACTAATTTTTATATATTATTAATAAGAAAAAATTTTGAGTTGTTTGTTAGCACTAATACTTTAAATACAGTAACTTGTGTAATTAATTGGTTGTTAAGTTTATTTATACTGTATTTTTTATTGCAAGACATTTCATAAAATTCTATTAGGTAAAAAAAGGAAATAGAAAAATAAATTATGAACTAAAAAGTGAATATGCAATAAAACTGACAAACCTTCATAATGTGGTCCAAAAGCAATTGTTTTACGATCTTTACAACAACCGTATAAGGATGCTGCGCAAGACGATTCACCACAACCTTCATAATTTGGACCTCGAGATAATGTTACTTCATCTGGACAGCAGCCATACTTCGTTTCATTGCATGAACCTTTAATTTTCATTTTCATGCTTTAAGAAATCAAAGTTAGTACTGTACTTTGTTTCATAAACAAGTTACTATATTTCGGACAATTTACTGTAAAAGAATGTGACAGATGTATGAAAATTTGTTTGAAAATTTTTCTTAATTTTTACAGCTTTGTAAAATATGCCTTTATTGAATATTTTGTTGGAAATAATAGTGCTTTTTATTGCGATTTCCACGATAATTTAATTTCATATATTTTTTGTTATTTGGTCAAGTTACTGTAATTTTTGTAGCACTCTCTGTAAGTTATATTGGTGCATCGAAAAGTTCAATGTTTCACTATTTGTCAAATAACTTTTTTGTTATTATTTACAGTTGTACTGTAGCAAAAAATGCTCTAGTCAATCTATTAGTTTTTCTAAATGTTTTTGCTGCTTGCAAGCATAAAGAATGCTATTGACGCTCAGTAAGGAAAAATAATGCTAACTTTTAACTCCTACAAAAAAGAATATCGCAGTGATCAGATTATTTACTAGAAAACCTAACAGTACTGCTGAAAAATATTTTAATTAATTCTTATCTAAATGCTAAAAAGTTTCATAAATATGGCTTCAAAAAAAACACTACAGTACGCAAGTGATTAGACCATTGATAGTACATTTAAAAAATGCATTAATCGTTTGAAAATACCATTTGACAACCATGAATGTAATCTCAAAAAAGCATTACAGTAAGCAAATATTAGTACGATACAAATAAGTACCAAGAATGAATTGTGGACAGCCTTGGTTGTTTTTGCCCTCAGCTGGAGTAGTCCAGTCTGGACAACAACCGAATTCAGTCTTAGAACAGTGCTTGGTAGCATTTCCAGAGGTAGCATTTGTAAGCAGCTCATCAACATCCTCGAGCAATATTTGCGTAGAATCATTTTTGCATAAAATTGATGCAATATCGCCAGTTTCATTATTTATTACCTCACAAACTTGTCCTTTGCTAAAAAAAATTACTAAAACATGGATTATTAAAAAGTACAAATATTCATAGCAATTAATAACAATATATGTCAAATAAAAATAACTTTAGATCTTTCCAATATTTTCTTGTATTCTTTTGTAGCATTAATTTCAGATTAACTTATTTATTAAAGCTAAAAATAAATTTAATTGTATAATAATAAAATAATATAATAATAATAATAATAATAGTAATAATAATAATAATAATAATAACATAAATAATAATAATAATAATAATAATAATAATAATAATAATAATAATAATGGTAATAATTTGATTTAGTGATAAAAACTAAAATTATTGACAAAATTTAACAAAAATGAAACTAATTTTAAGTAGTCAGTATTAGCAAAAACTGTTGTATACAGTATACAGCTTTACAAAAAATTCAGGAGCAGTAATTTAAGAATTATTATATTAACATATTAAATTACTTATTATGATTATGTAAAGATTGTAAGTTTTGATAAGTTAACTGTCCAATTTGTATTCATGATAAATATAAGAAATTGAAATGAAATACATATTGGGATTTAAAAAACAAAAAATTAAAATCAGAAATGAGCTAGATGACAGAAATTAATACAAGAAGTATGACTACAGTATTCAAAGTTCTTCCAATACTTTTGTGTACCTTTTTGATTTTTCAAAAGCTTAAAATTAAAGCTTCGAGAATTAAAAGTAAAACTGTTTTTACTTTAATACTTATTTATTCAGTTATCAATTTAGTATAAATATCTTTTTTCATTTTTATAACTTTCATTTTTTGTTAAATTTAGGATAAAAAACAGAAACAGTGTTATATATTTTAGTTAAAATTTTAGTATTTTATTAAGCTCATCGACAATCTTCGAGCAACATTTGCGTAGACTCATTTGTGCACGAAAAATAATAACCTGATAACGGCAATTTGGTCCTGTACAGTATCATTTGTAGTACCTTCTCCACTGCCTTCTATTTCTTCAAGATATTCCGTACACCCTTCCTTATTAATTCCTTGCGCTTCCGTAATATTATCAGCGCAGCAACCGAATTTTGAATCAGAGCAGTTCGAACATCCCGCCAAGTAAGGACTTGTTGCTATCGTAATATTATCCGGACAACATCCAAATTCACTTTCATCGCAGGCTGAATTGGTAATATTATTGTCATGAAATTAAAAATTTTTGAAAATGATTGGAGTTCAAATAATTAATTTTTGAAATATAAAGATATTAATTCAAATAATCATATTTATTAAAAAAATTATTAAATTTAAGCTGAAAAAATATAACTAAATTGAAATAAGCTAAATTTGAATAATCATTTATAGAATAAAATGGATTTAAATGAGATAATAGTTAATTTGAATAAGATATAATGAAATGGAATATACTTGGACAAGGTTCTATGTTGCAGTTTCGTTCCTCAGCTGGTTTTTCAGCTTCATCACACCATTCAGGAACAGGTTTTTTATCGTAATTTAAGCAGACAATCATTCGAGTTTGTTTTCCACCTCCACATCTGAATTATGCAAAATTTCCAACTGAACAGCAGTAATATTGCGGTGCTAGGTATGAAAAAGTAAATACTTTGCTGACTTATGTTATATATAATCCAAAAATTTTGCATAATTTATAAATATGCAAAATTTTGATATCAAAAGACTTGCAATATTACTAACTTATACTAACGAATTACTAATTTAGACTGCTTAATCATCAATTTACAGTAATAATATCATAGATTTCATGTGAAAAAACTTATCTTCCGTATACCCTTTTGAATTCTGAATGTTTTCAAATGAAAACTTAAATATTGTATATGTATTGTATTATGAGTAGAATTAAAAGTAAAACTAGTTTCACATTCTGGGTTGTTTCCACATTTTTATCGTAATATCATTTGTTGCGCCATGAGATATTCTAATTTGTACAGATAAACTTTTGGTACATATGTATTGTACAACTAGTGATTTGTGTGATAGATAGTATAAATTTTGCTAACTGAATATTGTCTATCCTATGTATAATATATACAGCTGATAATACAACTGTACTGTAGACAGTAGTAGCTATCGTACTATAGATAGTGGTAAATGCTAAAAATTTAAGGTAATGATCAAAATTTGTTGTTTATGAGTAATTACAGTAGTTGATAATACTAACTCAGCAGAGCATTTGCTCCATGGTCCTGTATAATAAGTACCATTGCATTTTTCCTCATTTGTACAATTTTTTATTGATACTGGCTTATTTTTTGAACTGCAGTGCTCTTCACTCACAATCTAAAAAAATTCATGCTGATTATTTAATTTATTAATGAATTTTTAAATTTCAAATTCAAGGTTAAATCATTTTGAAAATCGATATAATAATCTTAAGCCTGAATTACAGATGAACTCAAACTGAGTTGTCAATTACTCAAAGATTTAGAGATTTTAAATACATATTTAGCCATGAAGTTAAATTTTAGATAATTAAAGCTTTGTGAAATTGAATATAGTTTTTGATAAAGATATTACAGTATGTTTCAAGTTAAATTAATGTGAACTGCTTTTACCGTAAGATCATTTAATTCATGTATTGCACACACAACTCTTCTTGAATTATGTCCATGACCACATTCTGTACTACATTTTGACCATTCCGATGTGTGCCATTCATAAATGCAGGGCTTAAATTCTTTCATTTACAACCTTTTAATGATAATATATTTTTATAGAAATAACGTATATGTACAAAATAATGCTTCTACCCAAAAAATTACTGTCTTTTTTTTCTTATTTTCAGAAGTAAACTTTTAATTCATTGATTTTTAATTAGATATTCACATAATTATAAAAAATATCATTAAAAAAAATGAGAAAATGGATAGTCAGTTAGTAAAAGTTACAAAAATATATTATTATTTAGAAAATCTTGTAAAAAATAAAGTAGTTTATAAATATGCAAAAAAAGACTGCTGAAAAAATTTTTCACCTAATAAATATGCTAATTATCCATAAGTTATTAAATAACTGATGGATAATATTAGTATTTGAAGTGAGCAAAATGAATGTATGTAGCAAATTTTTACTTGTTGTGAGGCACATGGCCGTGTGTCTACAGGAATTTTCGTTACATTTACAGTAAGACATTTTTCTAAAGGATATATTCGACCTGCGGGATCTTTACACGTGACATTACGATGTTCTTCAGTATCGTTACACTTTTCACACTGTAAAAATTACGATCCAGTACAAACAAAAAGTTCACTTCTAAAAGACTATATTTAATGTATTACAGATATTTCGTTATAAATTATCACGATTATTTTTTGTCCGCAATAAAATTTGCTTCATTTAGTCTGTTAAATATAATTACTTGAATTTGACTATGATAAATAGTTCTCGTAACCAGTGATTTTGAAGTATACTATTTTTTGAAAATTTTCAAGCCTTAAATTAAACAACATCCGTAGAATACTTTTAAGACTTATTTGGAATAGTGAACACGAATTCATGAAATATTATAGAGCTAGTCTGATTAATCTGATTAGTACTTCTATAACCAAAGATAACTTATAAATGAACAGTATTTCAGAGTGATTTTGGCATAATTACTTCACTAAAAAGTGATGAGATCAGAAAAATATTTTAAAAAAAAAGATTTAATAACTAATTTACCGCTAATTATAATTAATTATAGCAGAAAATTATTAATAGAAAATGATATCTGAAATAATATAAAGTTGCTTTCAACATTTTTTAATAATTATAGCAAAAATTAATTTTTTTATTTATTTTTTGATTATGACAAATATTTTTTGTAGTCAATAACTTTGAGCCAAATTTTTAAATAAATTATAATTTTGTTTTTCATAATTTTTTGAAAAATTTTTAAAACTTGTAATTTTTGAATAGTAGAAAGTGGTAAGCATTAACCAATTTCCAATCTGTTGTGAAAAAATTCAACCCTTGACATGGACCAAGATTGCAACTTCGTTGACTTTCCAAACTTGTCTGATTACCACATGCTTCTGCTGATAGTAATTTGCCTTCTTCTTTTTCTTTAGCACTTCTACAAGTTACTGAACGAAACTGATACGCATCACCACACTTTTTAGAACACGCACTCCACGGACCTGCTTGCCATTCTGGGCAAGCGAATCTGAAATTGTTCTTCGAAAGTATTATCATTAGGAATTTTTTTCTGCTTTTCAAATATCATAATTGTATGTGCAATTTTGTTATTCTTGTAATTTTAATATTATTCTCGAATTTAACTCTTATCAATTATGCTAATTTTCAAGCATATCACATTGTTACACAATATTATGTACATGATAATTTTATGCGTAAGATTTCCGAAGTATTCAAATATAATTTTTGTATACAATTTCCACGTATATGTTAATTTTTAAAACATAATGCATTTTCAAACTATTCATAGCAAATATGCAAATTTATAAATAGATGATGGTAGTCACTTGCATGGAACGTATTTGCTCACAATAGCATATTCGAACTTGTATTTCATTAAAAAATAGTTATAATGGGTTTGGAAATTTTTTTTATCATGCCTAATGTAGTAATTTTTAAAATTTAATGTACAAATTTTATACAAAACGAGTTTTTTTACTAACTTATATAATAGTTGACTCATTTTAATATTTGAATATGACTTTTGTATAATTTATAGGACTATGACCTATGACATTTCACATAACTTGATTATGATTATTCATTAAAGTATGCACACTACTTTAAAAAATATATATTTCAAGAAAGTTGGTTTATTTTAATAACACATAATATACAGTTCCTTATAATACTTTTCTACATTTTCAAGTTTATTTTCTGTATTTTCAATTTTTATCAAAACACTTTTTTTGCTGATTTCAAATCACATGATTTTTAGCTTTCAAATCATTAGTTTCTATTTTGGCACAAGGAAGAAATCAGCGAGTTACACAAAATACTTGTATGAAAATTAATTTAAGCATTATTTTTTAATTATACTAAAAATTGATCGCCAAATTCTGTAAATTTCGCTTATAAATTATTGTATAATATTTGGATAAGAAATGTAGTAAAATATCAAATCAATATTAAATGATATAAAAGTAAAAAGTAAGAGTATTATTTTGACCTTTTCCTATAGTATTAAACTTAGGTCAAATTATAAAAGGTCAAATGATATAATAACTTATTTGGCACGTTATAACATGAATTCTGACCTTTTCCATCCAAATAAAAATAATTTACGCAAAAGATTCACCTATTGCAAGACTGTTTTACAGATGGACGTGTCGTTGTACAGTTAGAATCATCGACAGTTATACGTTTTCCGTCAGAAAATACTTGATGACAGTAAACGACTCGATATTGAGTACCACTTTTTCCACACGTTGTACTGCATTGTTCCCACTCTCCTTGGAACCATCTAAAATTATTTGCTTTTACTAAAACTCTAAATTCATTATAAACTAATGACTAAATTTCTAAATAAATCACTTTGTTCGCTAAAAATATACCTGAAAAATGCTTTGGCACAAAAAATTCAAAAATTATATATTCATTAAAAGTATATTGTTTAACTGCAGTAATAAAATAATAATATTTGATAGTGTTAATAATAATAGTAGAAGGAATATGGTTGTGAGCATGATGGTATTAATATCGATGTTAATAAAATTACTTGCTTTTAATAAATGTTAACTGCAAAAGAACTGTAATGAGCACTCTAACTGAAAATAATAAATACCACTGTGAGGCTATCACAGTTTAAATCAGGTAAAATTATGGTATAACAATTAATTTGGATTATTAAATTACAACTACAATAATGTATAGATAGTACTCTTACTCTGCTTCACAATCTGTAGTTTCACATGATTTTTCTGTGAATGGTTTTGTAGCATTGTGTTCTTCACAAATTTCATCTGCTACACGCTGCTGAGAACTGCTTTCAATGCAATATGGATCACGCTTTTGTATTCCTAAATAACATTAATATGGTATTTAAAATCAACACATAAATACAAATTACGGTAGTGGAGGTACATGGAAAAAAATTCAAAAAATAACAATAATATTTACAAAGCAACTAAAAGTAATATATTGCTATCTAAGATTGATGTGCAAAAATTACAAAATGTCTAGATATACTGTTACAGTACTAAAGAGTGACCATAATTTTTTAATATAATTATTTCTTTATATTATGAATAAAGTCAAATGTCTTTAAGTAAGGTCAAGCGTCTAAAAACTTTTTCTTGATTTATTACTCCAAAAAAGGTCATCATCTGTGATTCGCAATTTTTTGTTGTTCTCATATTGTGTAATACACGCAATGCTATCAAAAAAAGAGGTAACCGCCAAAAAAAATTAATTTTGCGTTAAATATACGGAATTGAATCATACCTTTTCCGCAAGTAACCGAACAAGCGGACCATTGACCTGGTTTGTATAAATATGGTATGTCTTGTTCTAATGGTACCGAAAATTCATACTTGATTGCACCGTCCTGCAAATTGACAATCATGAAAGAAATTAAGTAAATATCATCAAAAAGAAAAGAATTTGAATTAAATTAAATACAAGTTGAAATCTGATAAATGAATTACTGGAACACTTACGAATTAATAACTGTATAAAACCGTATAAAAACTAAATTAGACATTTTTTTGAATACTTTTTAAATTTTAGGAATATATTTTAGGGATGTTTTGAATAGGTGAAAATATTTATTATTAATTAATCTATGAAAAATTTTATGCTTTACAGTTTTCTCTCTGTAATTAACTTTAATTAACTGCAAAATGAATTTTATGTTGTAGTTGGTTCAAATTTAACTAAGTGGTCTAAATAATGAATTATATTCAATTTAACTAAGTGATCTAAATAATGAATCATGTGATCTAAATAATGAATCATATTAAATTCAACTAAGCGATTCAAATCACTTAGTTTAAATTATATGATTGTGAGATTATATGTGCTTATATGACTAATCCCAAGAAATCCCATAGAAGTGATCAAACGATCAAATGATTTTGTATTTATAATGAACTTTGAAACATGTTGATGATTCTATACCTTAGTAGTTATTTCTTTAAGTAATAGTAATGAGATATATTTTAATTACTGAATTATGTCAAAATTTATTATTGTGATTAGATTGATCTTCTTCATATAAAGTGAAAAACTGCGATTAAATATTATTGCAACCTTATTTCCGCGCCGGAAAAGTAAAGCAATAATTAATTCTTCTTGTATGGGTCCCTTTGCTACAAGTTTTTCGAATGGATGATCAGAACTTCGGCGATTATCGTATTCAAATAAAGTGCCAGCAATTTCCAGATCTCTATCCGTTAATTGAATTTGATAATTACCATTTAGATAATAGTGATCAGACATATTTTTAATTGCTGAAAAATAAATATCATTTGATCAGAAGCTTTGATCGATGGGTCTTAACTAATGGTAAAGTAATACTGAAAACCGAAAATTGATAGTTCAAGTATTATTTTACCAAAATTTATTGATTAATGGAATTTTTTGGATCAGTAAATTATTCTTATGATATCAATTCAATTTGTAAATTATGCAAATTCTGATTAATAAAATATTTCAAATGCAAAGTTTGCAAATTACCAAGTGAATTAGTTGTTGGGCGCATTTCTTCTACACGAATTGACGTTGCACCAACAGGTAATCTTATAATGTTATGGTATCCAGGTGTTAAATTTCGTTCATCAAAAAATCCTTCAACTGTTTTACATTTTGATCCATCACCACCACATTCACCACACTTGTCATTTTTCATTGCTGAAAATTTTCATATTTTTAATGAACAAACAAAAAAACAAAATTTTAAAATAAATATTTTATTAAATTAAACTTTTGTCATAAATTGTAATTTATTTCAAAAGCTAAGTTGTATTACAGTAATTAAAGTTATAAACTGTGTTTAGCTGAAAATTAAATTGATAAAAAAATGATTGTAAATCTCAAATTTTGTTTTATTAACATCTGAATGATAATAAACCTGATCCAAGCTTTTTATCACATCCAACCGGTAAACAAACTCCTTCAACACAAATATCATCGTGCAAATGATCGCATTTTGTTCCGTCTATGACCTAAATTTTTGATTTACTTGATTTGGATCATCAAAAAATTATAATCTAATCTAAATCAATTAAATTCTAAACTATTTCATCTCTTAATTTTGTGAAACCAAGTGTATCGTATTATTTGGTTTACTGATAGTAAAATTTACCTTATCAGCCCATTTGTAGTAAAAGTTAGCACTGTCTGGTTTACAGGTTAATTCACATTTATTTTTTCCTGTATATGGTAACCATTTATAGTAGTTACCGTCTAGTGGTGTATCATCATATTGAGCACACTGAGTAGCACGAAAGTCCTTTACATTACCATTACAGGGGATAACGTTACAAGATACGTACCGTGTTGATGGACCAGTGCATTCACCACTTGAATAAAATTTTACTATTATCCTCGTTATTAAAAAATTTCTTCGATGTTGGTTTAAAAAGTAATGTACCATACGTGGACATAATAAACTTATTCTATAAATTAAAATAAAATTATACGAAAACATACTTGCATGTTCTTCGTTCAATTTGCACGCCACCACCACATGTCCTCGAACACTGTTGTTCCATTGACCAAGGACCCCATGGCCCAGTTTCTCCACGTCCAGTTTTATCAGCAGTTACAGATATATCACCATCTTTATATACTTGATAAGCTTGTCGTCTGATTCTAAGTAAGGTAGGATCTGCTTCTAATGGAGAGCTTGGATGTAAACTAATTTCTTCGGACGCCTCAAAAAAAAAATCAGAAATAATAATTTTGAGTAAAACTTAATAATAATTTAATTGATAATAATTATAAGAATGAAAATATTTTCTAACAGATTGTTATTATGAACTGAAAAGTTAGGCCTAGTTTTCTTTTTGTAGCTTATATAATTACAAATAAAATTAAAACAAATTTTCATGCTTAATGATGTCTATTTAGATATAAATTTAACATTTCAAAAATTTTCAGAAATGCAAATTAGTCATACTGTATTTACCCTTGCTTATCAGAAAATACATATTAGTGATACTGTATTTACTTTTTGCTTATCAGGAAAACATGATTATCAATGATTTAAGTTAATAAACAAAACTAGAATTTTTTTCAAATCATTAGAACTATACATATTTATCTTTTGTAGAGATTTATTTCTAAACTTTTATAATAATAAATATCATCAGTGGATATATATAATATCGAAACTTACGATGATTTGAGAATAAAGAATGATGGTTTTTCAATAATTTCAAAAAGTATGTTCAGAAAGGTTACGCAGGTTAGTCGGAAAAGTTTCTATATCTATCTGATGCATATTTTTTGTGCTAACCAGCATATTCTACGGACTTATATTGATATACGAAATAGTTACGGATTACTGTAGTATGATGATTACTGTAGTATGATGATATTTACTATATTAACCTTTTTTGTAGAGAAAAATGCAATATTCCATGCTTGAATCGCTAATGGCATACAACAAATTACGGCTGCTAACAAGTGTAGCAGCCGCATTTTTCCACTCGATTTTTGTTCTGCAAAAAATTATTAATAATCTTAAATCAATTACATAAATTCTAATTAATTAACGTTGTAAAGAAGTAAATGAAACCAAAATGTACCAAAGCTAATAGGGAGATTAAGGTAAGTAAATAAGTAAGTGAATAAGTAAGTAAATATATAAGTAAATTAATTAGTTTGTTAGTAAAGTAAAATCAAAAAAAGTAATTTAAAAATTTTAAGACTAATTTTTTAACCTTATTATTTAATATAAAAATAATAAAAGTTGGTAAAAATTTTTTTGTGTACCTTTAAATATTAATAAAATGAAATTATATTTACACGTAAGCTGAAGCTTTATTAATCGTGATGAATACTTGAATTATCACAAAAATTTCTTGGGCAAAATATTATAGGGATATTTTTGACGTAATTATATCTCAAAATATTTTCGTTTCTGATTTGAAAACTGAATTAATTAATCTTAAAATTTCAAAAATAATTACACGCAAAGTTTTGCATATAAATGAACAAAAATTCGAATATTTATACTTGAAATACCGCTGCAAAGTAATAAAAATCTCAAAAGTTGTATAAGCATTAAAATATGCATTATCAGACAGATAAAAGAGTCTCTTTCCCACTTCTTTTTTGAATAATTCCATAATTCTGGAGGGAAAAAAACAAACTGGCAGTGCTTGGTTAGACTAAAATAAAAATTCTTAGTAAGTCTGAAATAAATTTTTAGTAATGATTGAGTAAAAGTTAAAAGCAAAGCAAACAGTTGCATATTTTTGATGTGAGAACTTTTTTGTTATTTTCCCAAAAGTTTACAATACAAAAAATGAGCAAAAAATGTTAAAATGAAGAGAACAGATGCAAATTTTACTTACTGAAAATAACAAAATACTATCAAAATCTTGAAAATTACTTTGAATACAAAGTAAAAGTATAATTTTTTCAAAACAGTTTTAAAAATATGCACTCTAAAAAAGAATAACAATTTTAGTGTAAGTGAAAGTACTACTTTCATATAACACTTAATAAAATTCAAAACAAGTTTATAATTTTTGACTGAAATAATATGCATACAAGATTTACAGAAGTAGAAAGAAGGATTGAACAAAATCTATACTTGATAAATAATCATAATTTTAATTACTATTTGTTGCTAATAATAAATAATCACAATTTTGATTATAATAAATTCATTTTTTTTAAATTTAATTTTAATTTATTGTTTTTTTAATAAATATCCACTGATCGAATCAACTATTGGATAATACAAACTACATTAAACAATTAATTTAGCTCTAAACGAAAGTTTATAATGAATTCAACTAAGTAATATCAGAAGTTATTTACTGATCAAATTGATAGGTAATCAAAAAGTAATTAAAATAGTAATTATTTCAATTTGTAAGCAAAATTTGAATTTGGATCACCAACTAATCATATCAGTTATTTAGATGCTAAAATTTATAATAAATAATCGAAATATTATAATCTGAAACAAGTTTCCAAATTGTAATTAATTAAAATATTTGAGTACTTGCTTTATTAAACTTTATAATATGTAATTCGCTTGTTACTAAGTAAAATCTAATAAGCTAAGAACAAGTCTTGCTTAGACTATATTTTTTATTCTTCCTCCTCTACTTTTCCAATTTTTTTAGCTATTTTTTCAATCTTTTTAGTTTTTTTCATTTTTTATGTTTTAGTTCTATACTCCTTTAAATAATTACAAATTCAAATGTGCTATACGAGAAAAGCAAAAAAAAAAGTGTTGAGTGTTGTAGTATTTATAAATGAAATTGATAGCCTCAATATGTGTTTTAGTTTAGATTGGATATTATAGATTAAATTACTTTAACATTTGGTTTAGATTACTTTGACATGTGGTTTAGATTACTTTGACATTAATAATACTCTAATTTAATTATTAGTTTGTATAAATTTATAGCATAAAAACGTTTAAATTGGTACTATTTCTAAAATTTTTCAAAACTGAAATATACAAAAAATTTACTGATTTATAATTTTCCTTCATCCAATTTTTTTTTTTGCTCTAATTTGTGAACCAAAACTTTGACCTCTGGCCTAAATATTTATGCTTCACATTGTGCTATATGTGAGAAAGCTTTGCATATTAGCAATATTCAAAAATCTATCATATTCACACATTACTCTTGCAGATAAAATTTGGAAATTGTCTTCTGATCAATCATGTTTTAAAATTTTAAAATTAATTCTGACATTAATCTCATCTCATCTATCCTGCCATTAGCAAACTGTTAACTTTTGGTGAGTTTTTAAGCAAAAAAGTAAAAGTTTTGAATTTTATCAAATATTTTTGCAATCTTTCCAAATTTCTCTAAAATGCTAAAAAAACTAAAATGCTAAAATATTATAAATATAATTATAAGATAAGATAAAAATGAAATATTTTAAAAAAGTAATAACTTAATTAGTCTCAATTTATGTAAAACTTTTTGAATAATTTTTTAAACTAAAAAAAATTGTTCACAGATTTA